AACATTTATATCATTTTTTGTTCTTTGATGCCTGAAAACTGATCCCATCAATACCTCATGATCACACAGGCTGGTGTGCTTCTTCCATGTGGGCTCTTGCTTCTCAGTTAGATGGCCGCTTGTTTATCTTCAAGCCTTTAAGACCCCAGATGATATATCTTTTGATAGCTGGGCACCATCAGCTTTCTTCATCACATTTGCTTATGCACCCATTTGTCTTCAACAATCCTGTCGGGAAGGTGAGCATCATGGCATGCCAGTTTAACAGAATAAAGTGTTCTTGCATTAAGGGAGTACTTGAGTAGAGGCCCAAAGTCCATCTGCTACCTTAATACCAAATCTATAAATATATGCACATAGATCTATTTCCCCATCATCATATATAAATATATTTACATAAGTACATGCCTGTATTTAGACCTCTATAAATGTCCTTTGCCTCCTAGTTCTTTCCTCTATTTCCTTTTACATTCCTCTTGGTTTCATTGCCCTTGATCAAGCCCTACCAGGCCTCCTACACCATCCTCTCCATCGATTTTGGATAACTTGTTGTTCCTTATACCTGGGTTTCTTAGCACCCATTTCCTTTCCCCAGCCTCCCTATCTCCCGTGTCCCCCCCACCCCCAACCGTCAGTACCCTTTTTTTTTTCTCCTCTAGAATGTTTATCCTGCCTATGTTATCTAGACAGACCTGTGGAGATAATAATACGCACAAAAAACAAGACAGAGCAAAACAAAGCAACAAAAGAAAAGAAAACACAAAACCAAAACCACTGACAAAAAAAGAAAAGCCAGTCTATAGTTCAAGGGTCTGTTTGTTGACCTTTCGAAATGTTTTCTGTCAAATCTGATAGGGTGCCATGTCCTGGCCTCAAAGTCTATTTTTGGTATTCACTCTCCCCTTGCTGTTGTGTTACACGCCCTTAGTGTTTTGCCATGGTGTGGTGGGGTCAGATCAGGCCCAATTACTGCACTGTGTCTCTAGTGTTGTCCACCATTGGCTATGGGTCAGTGAAGGATGTCATGTCTCATTGTGGGGCCGGCCATATGGTCTCCTCTGTGGATTGACTGCTCTGAGCGGGGATATCGTCCTTAAGGCTTGGTGGACCATGATGTGTTCCACTCTCTTCCTCTCCCTTCATTTGCTCCTGTGTGCTCTGATCAGACATGTCCCTCTCCCAGAGCTTCAGTGCTGTCCTGTGAAGTAAATTTTCTGTGGGGAGGGTGAGCTGTCCATGTAGTTGGGATTGGGGCCGGCCCCTCAGACCTGCTTCATGCCGGTATGTTGCAGTCACAACTTGGAGCTCTGGGTTTTCCAGGTGTTTCTGGATCAGTGATCTTAGGAGATATTTTCACTCCTTCTGCCCTTTCACTATGACTGCAGGCAGTGTTGTGGGGGAGAGAAGGAACCTGAGTGAAATACTTGGAAAAATATTAAGTAGAATTAAGTCTGTGACAACATTGTTACATTTGGTATCAAAATGCCAGACTTCAGAGGAAACGACTAACAATTTGGAAAGTGAAAGGAAGAAATAGGATAAAAGGTTTGCAGACCATTCTAATCAAGCGCATTTTGTGTGTGTTCTGGAACAGGGCAGACTCTTCGTAGCTACAATAGAAGCACAAGGGCAGCAGTGGCCAGGAGAGCACAGAGATGGGAGCACCGTGCAAGATGGGGAGGATGAATAGGGGCGGAGTAGAAATAAGCAGCAGTATCATTAAAGGAAGATAAAAATGAAAGGGAGTGCGTGAAACGACAGAGTGGACCTAGCTAAAGAGAAAATGCGCACACTCGAACACAGATCTGAGGCTGTTAGAGTACAGAGAGGAGGTGATGGAGACGCCTCTCCCACAGGAGCCGTGGAGGAGCTCCAGACGAAGAGCCTAGAGAAAGGCCCTGGCTTTTCTAAGTATCTGAAAATTGACTACAATTGATGAAAGGCATTTTCTTATATTGAAGAAGCAAAAAGCCCCCAAATTAGTAAAATTAAATTTCTACCTGGGCATCTCATTTGGCATTGACAGAATATCAGGGAAATGAAAAAATTTAAAGCAACCAGTGAGGGAAAAAAAATCACCTATTAAAATAGGTTGATTAATAGCCTCCTTATAAAAAAGGATAAGGATCCAAAATAATGTGTGTAAGGATTGTAACATTATAAATTCTTAGTGGTAACAATATTGAGAAAAAACATTATCATCTTTAATATTTTGACGGAGATAATTGTTTTAAAAGGCAAAACTTCAATCTCTGGTTTAAAGAAGACTGCATGATTACTTCTCTTCTACAAACATACCTGTACAGTGTGTATTTTGCATTAGTAAGGACATTTGTTTATCCCAAGAGAATCTTTACAGCAACCACACATTGCCCAAACAGGGCAGTCAAAGAAGATCGCTCTCTCCCAATCGAGATGTGTGCTCTTGAAATCGGTCAACAACTGGACAGTGGTGGAGAGATGTCTGCCACGTTTCGGAGGGAGACCAGAGAGTCTTGAGATTACATCTAAATTTCCATTAGATGCGTGTCAGTCATAATAGGAAAAACGCATTTTTTGCATATAGTACTTCATACTTAAAAAAAATACAACATTGCATTTTTAAGGCAGGTGTTTTTAGTCTCATATACAGTTTTAGGAAGCCAGTGATTTTAATTTGGCTTATAGAATTAGGCCTGCCTTAGGAGGTTATACATTAAAACTTCTGGCATCTGAATGGAATCAACTTCATTTTTCAGTTCTGAATCACAAAGTTCTGGATGTGGATGACAAAGCAGATTTGACTAAATGTAATAAGTAAGATAATACATAATTAGAGAACAAATATTCCTACTCTGGGCTTGTTAGTAGGATGAGAAACACTTGTTCTCAACTGAAACTTGGTAAAAACTTGTGCTGTCTGAATTATTTGCTGAGTCAATTGAAG